ATATCATTAGTGACTTTCACCAGAGCTGTTTCAGTGCTATGATGAGCTCTAAAGCCAGACTGAAACTCTTCAAAAAGTTCATTATGGTGGAAGTGATCACAAACTTGTTTGGCAACTACTTTCTCAAGAATTTTGGATAAGAAAGGAAGATTGGATATAGGTCTATAATTGACCAAGTCATCTGGGTCAAGAGACGGTTTCTTAAGCAGAGGTTTAATTACAGCAATCTTAAAAGCTTTAGGTACATATCCCTGTAACAGAGATAGATTAATCACATCTAAAATGGAGGAGGAGATCAAAGGGAATACCTCCTTAAATAACCTGGTTGGAACTGGATCTAACATACAAGTTGAAGGCTTAGATGAAGACAATAATTTTGCTAATTCAGAGAGTTCAACTGGATCAAAGCAGTCTAAACCCGGTTCAGATTCCATGACTACCTCAGGTACAATCGCGGATAGAGGAGTGCTTATGATCTTATTTTTAATAAGATCAATCTTATTTATAAAGAATCCCATAAAATCATTGCTGCTAAGAGCAGGTGGAATGGACGGTTCAACAGAGCTATGGCTCTGGGTGAGTTTGGCAACTGTATTAAAAAGAAATCTAGGATTATTCTTATTCTCCTCTATTAATGAGGAGAAGTATGCTGCTCTTGCTTTACAAAGGGTCCTCTTATACAACAGTAAACCATTTTTCCAGACTAGGAAGGACTCTCGCAGGCCTGTGGAGCGATATTTTCTCTCCAGTTTCCTAGCATTTTGCTTCAAAGTACGCAGCTCTGCATTAAACCAAGGAGCAAGCTTTCTATTTTTAACGGTTTTCATTTTCAAAGGAGCTGCGTTGTCTAAGGCAATACGCAGAGAACTAGCAACCCCCTCAACAAAATCATCAACCTGTGAAGGGGAATAAGCTAAGCTTTTGCACTCTGCAGCACTGCTCAGTGACACAGAGCAGAGAGAAAGTGAAGCAGATTCTTTAAAATTTATAACTGCACTATCTGATAAAGATCTACTAAAATTGAACCTTCTTTTGGGGGAGGAGAACTCTGTTAAAGTAATCCTGAAGGTTATTAGAAAGTGGTCAGAGAGGACAGGGTTGTGAGGAAATACTGTTATTTCTTCACATTCTATGCCGTATGTCAGCACAAGATCCAAAGTATGAAGATGAGAATGCGTGGGACTATTCACATTTTGAACAAAGCCAATAGTGTCTAAGATAGCATTAAAGGCTGCTCTTAAGCTATCGCCTTCAATGTCAGCATGGATGTTAAAATCTCCCACTATGATGACCCTGTCAGTATTTAATACCAAATCAGAAATGAACTCTGAAAACTCATCTAAAAATTCAGAGTAAGGACCTGGTGGACGATACAAAGTTACAAAAAGAAGAGGTTTTCTTGCCTTGAAATTTGGATCAGGGAAATTAAGGGTTAAATGTTCAAAAGAGTTGTAGGAATTAATTGTTTTGGGAGTAATCAGTAAGTCAGACTCGAAGATTGTTGCTACTCCTCCTCCTCGCCCAGAACTTCTGGGGATGTGAAAATTTAAATAGCTTGAAGGAGTTGCCTCATTTATGCTCACATAATCCTCTTGCTGCAGCCAGGTTTCTGTAAGGCAAAACAAGTCAATGTGATTATCACAAATCAAGTCATTAACTAGTAGACTTTTAGAGGAAAGCGATCTTATGTTAAACAGACCGCATTTAATTGTTTTAACTTTTTCCCCAATTGGAGTTATTTTGATTTTAATTAGATTATCATGATTTACTCCTTTGGGAATCTTTGCTAATTTATTAGATTTTGGTCGTGGGCAAGACACTGTCTGGATGGAGTAAAGAGTGGGTAACAGTAGAGAAGCTGCAGAGATGTGTGTTAAACTACAACTCTGCTTCCTGGTCTGCACCCTGGGTGGTCAGGGTTTTGGAGGACTAATAAATGTGGCCAGATTCCTAGAAAGAAGAGCTGCACCATCCAAAGTGGGATGGATGCCGTCTCTCCGAATCAGACCAGGCTTTCCCCAAAAGGATTGCCAATTATTAATGTAGCCCACGTTGTTTTCAGGGCACCACCTAGACAACCAGCGATTGAATGACGACATGCGGCTAAACATGTCATCACTGGTCAGATCAGGGAGGGGACCAGAGAAAATTACGGAGTCCGACATTTTTTTTGGCAAACTTACACACCGAAGCAACACTAATTTTAGTGACCTCCGATCGGCGTAACCGGGTGTCATTACCACCAGCGTGAATAACAATCTTACTGTATTTAACCTTATCCTTAGCCAGTAGTTTCAGGTAGGATTTGATGTCGCCCGTTCTGGCCCCCGGCAAACATTTGACTATGGTCCCTGGTGTCTCTAATGCCACGTTTCTGACTATGGAGCTGCCAATCACCAGAGTGGGCTTCTCAGTGGGTGTGTCACTGAGTGGGGAAAACCGGTTAGAAACGTGAACGGGTTGGTGGTGACCAGTGGGCAGAGATCCACGACTACGCTTTCTGCGTACAGTTACCCAATCGCCTGGCTGCTCAGGCACTTTTGGAGGACAGCTACGTGGGGGGCCTACTTTAACTCCTGGATGTTCAACAGCCTGAAGCCTGGATTCTAACTCTGACACCCTCGCCTCCAAAGCTACAAAAATACTACACTTATTACACATCCCATTATCACTAAAGGAGGCAGAGGAATAACTGAACATCTGACACAGAGAGCAGGAGAGAGGAGAGGAAGAAGGAAGAGTTGGAAAAGAGTCAAGGGAGGGAGAGAGAGAAGCCATAGCAATGCTAAGCTAGCGCTAGCCTAGGCTAGCTACTTCTTGCTATCAGAAATAAAACCGTGTGAAACTGACAAGTGCTCAGTAGAAAAGTGCAGCAGAAGGTGCTATGTTTTAAAGTAGTCAGTTAGAGTTACTTAGATACAGAGATATCACAGAGAAAATAACTTAACTTCAGATGGAGATCCTCTGAACAGCTGCACACTCAGTTGCACACTCAGTTAATCCAAACAGGAAGTGAACAGGTCCAAACAGGACCTGCAAACATTTCCATAGTTTTAGGAGATAATTATTCAACTAGTTTCTTTTCACTTTCTATCTGGTTTTGGGGAACTTTTAATATCCATTATTTAAAAAAATGGTTTGATTTAATTTAGTCTGTTTTTTTTTTTTATTCCATTCATTATTTTCATTTAATTTATTAAAGGTATTTTATTTGTTGTTGTTTGTTCACTACGGGTTCGGTTTGCAGATTGCTGGTGTGGTCAGAACCAAAAAGTATAAATTACAGAAACTCTTATACTTCAAATAAACTATATACTAATTTTTTTTAATCATTTTTAATATCACTATATGATGCATCCAAATAAAACACAGTAATCAGAAGTATAAGAGCTGCAGGAAGTCCATGGTAGGTGGCTGAAGACTGTTGATGCAGCAGAAAATGAAAGAAACAGGGGGCCCAAATTCAATTTTTGCTTTGGGGCCCCCATTGGGGCTTGGGCCGGCTCTGGTCAGATACAACAGCAACCTGGTTTCTTTTGCTCCTTTAAGGATAACATTAATGCTTTTCTGCTGATTTGTCCAAACCTAACAAACCCATAAAGTAGCAATTCTATATGAAATAGATTTAGTTTTTTATATAATAGAATAGAATATAAAATCCCCTTTATTGTCCTACAATGGGGAAATTCTGATGATTACAGCAGAAAGAGAGAAAAAAATGATAACACAAATGTGGATCTTAGAAAAAGAAAGAAAAAATGTTTTTTTTTATTATTTGCTTTTCTTAAAATAAATTAGCAAAGTTTACAGCTTTGAATAGCAGTTAAATGTACATAAACAGTGTAGGTAGTAACATTTACTTCAGTACTCGAATAAAAGTAGCTTTAAGTTGTTCCTGGTGCTAAAAGGCTTACATTGTTTTTTTACACCCTGCATAATGAGAGAAGATTAGATTTAGTCATATATAGACCAATCTAACTTATATTTATGTAACATCTTTTAATTTTAAACTTTGAGCTTTCCATTTTGATTATTTAAGAAAAATAATAAATACTGAAATTAATATCCAGGGATGACTGATATTTTATGATTAATTCAAATTAAAAATGCACAGACTATATTTTTATCTTTAGAACAATTCTTATAATTTCAGCATTTTGAACTTTAAAAAAAACTATTTAAAGAAAAAAATGCCCCATCATGTTTTAGAACAGAATATAATAGAAAATCCCCTTTATTGTCCCACAATGGGGAAATTCTGGTGTTTACAGCAGCAAAAATATTATAGAAAAAATGGTCTATCTAGATACTGTACTATAAATATAAAAACTGTGCACCTGGAGAATAAATAACCAATATGCAGCTATGGACATTTTTACAGTAATGGATATTTGAAAATAGCAGCAACATCAGAGATGTGCAAAATGACAGCAGCATGTTATTTAACTGACTAAGATAGAAACTCTGCAAAACCAGCATGAATGTAACAACTTATTGAGGTTATTGGAAACAGTGGAGTTTATAAAGTCTTCCAGCTGTTGGGAGGAAGGATCTGTGATAACGCTCCCTGGTGCATTTAAGGTGCAGCAGTCTGTCACTGAAGGAGCTCTCCAGTTCAGCACCAGCTTCATGCATGAGGGAGACATTATCAAACAGATGTTCATTTAGTTAGGATCCTTTTCTTTCCCACCTCCTGCTTCAGAGGGCATCCACTCACAGAGCTGGCCTTCCTGATCAGCTGATCCAGCCGCTTCCTCTCAGCTACAGATAAGCCACCGCTCCAACAGGCAGCTTCATCGAAGATGGCAAAAAGAAACTCCATAATATTGCGCTTTATAAAATGAATCCTTACAACATGAGTTATACATTCTGATTAACTACTGACTTACTTTTGGATGATGTCATTATTACCTGTGGTGTGACTTTAAATGCATCAGAAAAAGGAGATGTATAAATCAACAGTTGAGAGTGATCCTTTTAAATTATTTCCTGTTTTTCAGTCTCTATCATCACTGCAGTTTCTGGAGAAGCTGGACCTGAGCTTCAACCGACTGCGCTGGCTTCCGCAGGACTTTACTCTGCATCTGTCCTCCCTTCAGGACCTCCGCCTGGACCACAACCTGATGCAGCACGTCGACTCCTCCTCACTGAGAAACTGTGACAACCTGAAAAAACTAGATCTGAGCCACAACCGTATCCGAACTATAGACATCAAAGCTTTCAACAGCCTCTCTCGACTGCGACTGCTGAACTTGGAGAGAAACAGGTTGAATGTGCTGCAAGACGGGCTGCTGAGCCGGCAGCAGAGTCTGGAGGTGCTCCTCCTCGGTCACAACAACATCTCCTTGGTCGAAGCTGACACCCTGTCACCGCTGCACAGTTTGACCCTGCTAGGCCTCCAGGGAAATCAGCTGCAGCACATCAAGTTCAAGACCTTCCTGAAGTTGCAGACCATCAGCACCCACCTGCAGATGTCCCTCAACCCCTGGACCTGCGACTGCGACCTGCAGCGAGTCTTCGGGAAGATCCAGAACGTCCGACACCTGCATGTGGAGGACTACAAGGCCATCCTCTGCCAGGCTCCTCCTCAGCAGGCTGGGAGCACGCTTGCGTCGATGGACAGCCAGCTGTGCATGGCAGAGACGGCTTCGGTGCTGGTCATCACCATCACCGTGATGCTGGCGGTGATCGGTGCCCTGGTCAAAGCTGAACGGAACCGCAAGAACAAACAGGCTGCAAGTGATGCAGAGTCTGCAGATAAATGACTGGATGCTTTTTGAAGAGTCTTCTCTAGAGTCTAGAGAGGAGAAAAACTGAGATGAAAGGAATTTAAAACCAACTAGTCGTTTAGTTAATAGGAAACGATCTGAAGTTTTTTAAAGTTCATAGATGCAACTTTTCCATCAACAGTTGTTGTATAGAGTGCAGTAAAGTAAAAGCATTAATCTAACTAAAAATATAAAATAATTGTCTTATAAATGTTAACAGGTTAAAATATATCTATATTAAATTCTGGTTATGATGCAAACAATAAAAAAAGTATTCATTAAGTCAGCATTTTAGTATTTATTCACAAACCACAAGGCAAAATATAAAAGTAAGGGATTACTGTTCAAAAGTAAGTATATGTACAAAAAGTAAATAAATAAAAAATGGGGGCAAAATAAAAGGCTAGGGTTTAAACTGTAAGTCGTGTCTTTCAGTTAAAGAGAAAAATTTGAGGGGTTTTTCGTTATGCATTTTTCTTTTCTTTAAAAAGCATTTTTGTTTAGAAAAGATGCATTTGAGACGGACGAACGGGTCCACCGCTTGGAATTGGGGTCGTTTGGCTTCTTTTGTTAGCCTTCAAAACCCAATGCCCTTTCTTAACAAAAACAAAGGCTTTATGGGTTAGAAAACATTATCAGAAATAGAATAATAAGTCACAAATATCAGTCGAGGATAGGGCTGTAAATCACATTCATCATGGCGAAACAAAAAACATAATTTTTTAATGAATACAAATAAGAAAAGTAAGACTCTAATCCTGTGTGACCACCTGGCTGCAGAAGTCACCCAAAGTAGTAAATAAAGTTTAGTATGTATTTAATGTAATGTTGATATAAATCCTGTTCTTCTGTGAGATTTTCAGGAGTTTGTTAGAGAACATTAGTGAAAAAAACACCATGATGAAAAGTAAGGAACACAGCAGCCGGGTCAGGGAGAAGATGTAAAGAGGTCATTTGGGTTCGGGTTAAGTTAAAAAGCATCAATATGAACATCTTTCAAAAAAGGAAAGTATAGAGCAACAGCAGACAAAGACATGACCGTCCATCTAAACAAGGAGGATATAATCAGAGAAGCAACTCTGACCCTCATAATAATTTAGGGTTCCAGGTGGGAAACTTTGCTATTATAATCTGACCTTTATAGATTACTTGGCACAGAAAATAAACATTGAATTATAGGGGAAAAGTCCTAAAAAGTTTTAGTTTGCACCAAGCAGATAAAATACTACATGTGTGGAAAACTTAACACCTTAAAAGCCCATCCCTGCTGTGAAACACGGTGGGGGAAACATCATACTAAGGGGATACTTTTCTACAGTAGCTACATGAAAGTTGATCGCTACTAATGGGAGACGAATGGAGCTTAAGAGAGCAATCATGAAAGGAAACCTGATGGAGACCAGAGGTTCACGGTAAGGCAGGGTAACTCCTAAAAAAGAGCTGGTCTGGCTGGGTTCAGGGAAATCTGTACCTCCCTGCTGACCCACCTGCAGCCTCCTAGTGCAGGATCTGCTCTTATGTGCACTAGATGTTAGGCCACACCTCCTAGTTAAAGAATTATGCTTCACTAAAACACAAAAATGCCTTTTGCTCTTCAGTTTCTGTTGTACCAAAGGAAAAGTTTGGTCATATTCAGAATTTAACCTTCTGAAAGTACTTTAAACATGAAATGATTACATACTGTTCAATAAATGATGTTTTTAATTAAGAGTAATTTTCATTTGAATGTGCTTTACTGGAGGCAACCGTGTTTGTTAAAAAAAACACTACTGCCACCTACTGGTTTGTGACGTCACGGTGCGGTATCGGCTGTTGATCAAGTCCCAGTGCTGTATCTGGCGCTTTTATTATCCAAGTCATCTTGAAAACATTCTTCAAATCTTGGCTACATATTACGTGTTTTTTCTCTGGCCAGAAGTTCGATGGCAAATCCTCCCTCTTCAAGTTGGCGATCCAACGACCAACCCGTCCGTGGACTCTGAGTGAAGTGGCCCCCCACCCACCTTCTTTAAATCAGACAAAATTTGTGTCAAACGTTTGTGCAGCAAAAATTTTCGTTTGTGCCGCTACCATTTAAAAAATATAAAGAAATATTTCTAGAGGTCATCAAAGGTCAACCAGCCCCCCCCACCTTCCTCAAATCAGATGAAATTGGTGTCAATTAACTCAGCTTCATTTGTGCTGCTTTGGCTTTGATGATATTAATGAAATTGTAAAGGTCAAAAGGTCAACCCGCCCCCCCACCTTCCTCAAATCAGATGAAATGGGTGTCAATTAACTCAGCTCCGTTTGTGCAGCAAAAATTGTCGTTTGTGCTGCTTTGGCTTTGAAGATGCTAATGAAATTGTAAAGGTCAAAAGGTCAACCAGCCCCCCCACCTTCTTCAAATCAGACAAAATTGGTGTCAAACGTTTGTGCTGGTTTGAGATCATACATAAGGTTTGAGATCAGACATAAAGAGATGTTTCTAGAGGTCATCAAAGGTCAACCAATTTCTTCAAATGAGGCAAAATGGGTGTCAATTAACTCGGCTCCGTTTGTGATAGTTTGTGCAGCAAAAAATTTTGTTTGTGCCGCTATCGTTTCTTTACAGTTTAAAATTATATCAATAGGTTAGCAACTTTTAATTTATATGAAATTCAGAGTTTCAGAATGAACCAATGTTCACTGGCCTTTGATGGCTTCTACAATTATTAATATCATTGAAATGATAGCAGTACAAAAAATATATATATTTTTAAATATGCATTTTTTATTTTTTTTATATATTTAATTTAAATATGTCATATTTAAAATTAATTTGACAATTTTATATTTTTTAATGGCAATTTTTACTGCTATCATTTCAATGATATTAATGAGATTTTGTAGAGGTCATCAAAGGTCAGTTAACATCTGTTTTTGCTGCACAAACTTTTGACTAAAATTTTGTCTTATTTGAAGAAGGTGTCGGGGGGGGCTGGTTGACCTTTGATGACCTCTAAAAACATCTCTTTATATCTTTAAAATGGTAGCGGCACAAACTAAAATTTTTGCTGCACAAACGTTTGACACTAATTTTGTCTAATTCAAAGAAGGTGGGGGGGCTGGTTGACCTTTTGACCTTTACAATTTCATTAATATCATCAAAGCCAAAGCAGCAGAAATGACAATTTTTGCTTCACTCAGGTGTCCGACCTGGATCAGGAATCAGAAAGGTGAAATAACTAATTTTTTTCTTCACTTTTACCCGATGTATCCCAACATCTAGCTGCCATGCACTGGGCATTGTCAGTTTCACTATAGCTCTGGTGAATTTCAATGGTGAAGTCCTCTGGAAATCTTGCACTAGGGTTACCGCACCGTGACGTCACTGCTGGAAGATGTCAGGAGGGAGGGGCTACTATATTTGGGCAAACATGGCCACTCTCAGACTCTGTGATCGCAATAAAAATTTTCATTTTCTTTACTGTTTAACGCTAAAATAATTAAATCACCACCAACATATTAAGTTTTAGGTATAAATAATGATCCATTGATTATTCCTCGCTGACCAGACTTTTCCTTTAAAGCCAACATCTCTATTAAAGAACCTGCAGGATCATTTTCTCGTTTATGTTTTTGGAAAAAAATGTTCAAAGGACACTGCAAATTAGCTAGACTGGTGCATCTCTATAACTTTAGTCTGTTAGTAAATCAGTATTATGCATCAATGATGTGAACAATTTAACTGACTCCAGATTTTTACATATTTTTTAGATTTTATTGAAAAAACATGATGTACACATTAAAAGCAACATACCATTATATAATAGCTTCCATTTACTTGTAAAATACTTAAAACACGTAATCCGATCTTAAGGATTTCCCGGAGAAGTAAAAAAAAAAACTTTTTAGAGCATAACAACTGTAAACAAGTAACCAAATAAATAAAACCATTTGCAATTTCAACAGAAAAGGAAACTTTTTCTTACAGTAAAAAAGCTCCCAACTGGTGGCTAAAGTTGAACCTGGTGCGCTCTTCCGAGCAGAGTGTTTAAATCCTGACGCGATGCAGCTCCTGCACAGACACCTCTGTATATAAAAACTGTCTTTGAAAGCCGGGGGGAGTCTAACCGTCAGTGGCTAGGATGAGTACAGCCCCGAAAATACCAACGTTGTGGCCTATCAGCTTCATCTGGTTCCAGAACTCCACCTTACGGTTGTGGTGCCAATATCCGAGGTTTCCGTCTATGAGTAGGATCACCAGAGGAAGGACGGTGGCTAGGATCTGAGCCGCCATGCGGATGTAGTATCCGGTGAGAAAGGCGAGAGCCAGAACGCCAAACAGCACTTCTATCAGCATCAGAGTGAGCTCTCCTCCAGCGATGTGGTTCAGGTAGGCCTGCCTGTCCTCCTTGCTGTGCCGCAGCGAGTACACCTAGTGGAGAAAGTGTGTAGGTGCAGGTATGAGACAAGAACCAGGATCTACAACAGGAATGAATATTCAAATTCGTATTTTTCTTCCAGCAGACACAGTGGTTGGTTGGATCTGAGAATCACTTACCATGCAGATGAGATATATGCCCAGAAAGATCTGTCCAGTGGACTGCAGGGATCTGCTGCGAGCCTTCTGCCTGTAGACCTCCCCTGCTCCACTGGCAAGAACCAGAAAGCCCCCGATGATAGCTAACGATCTGGAGTACATCCGGACCTGCAGGAAAGTACAGATCAGAGTTTCATAAACCGTTCCATCCCTAATATATATATATATATATATATATATATATATATATATATTAGTATATATCCAGAGGTTAGTATAAATTTTTTTTTTGTCCGATTCATCGATTAATCATCTCCAAGGAACTCAGAGCGGAGCGGACGGGAGTCACAGTGGAGGCTGTATGCTTTGCTTTGAGCAGCCGGTCTGGAGCGCAGCGGGGCAGAGCAGAGCGTTGACGGAGTATGTGGGATTTCGGGGTTAGCATGACATGTTGGTCGTGTTGCTGTTAGCATAAACAAAACGTATTGCACAATGCTTGCACACTGTTGCACTTTTATCCACAACTTTCTTTCCGCCGTCATCGTAGGTCACTCTAAATGCAAAGTGGTCCCATACAGCAGATCTATAAAGTGCTGCTGGCGCGTCTTCCAACTCCTGTTCTTTCCCACTCGCCATTCCGACACAATTCTCCACAACAACTGATTTTTTTCTGCTACACCCGGCTACGCTTCTTCTTCTTCTTGTTTACTACTGGTGGTTGGCTTTGGTCGCAGCACCGCCACCTTCTGCTCTGGAGTGGAAACGCTTCGCCTATGAGAAAAAGGAGCAGCGCATGAACCGAACGCAACACGCGAACCGAACCGAGACAGTCGAACCAAACGGTTTTCATAAACCGTTCCATCCCTAATATATATATAAATAAATCCTCAAAAAAAGATCTGACTACTAGAGCAAATAAAGAGCCCAATTACTGAAACATGGACGACTCTGAGCTGACTAATCAGAAAGAAAAACGTGACTGATCTGTGATCACGAGCAGAAAGATAAAAAGAGCACAAAGATTTGAAACCAAAGAGCTTTACTCACCTTTAACCATTCCCCATAATAGACCTGCTCTCCCACATAGGAAGCATAAGTACTGATGGCCAGCTGGATGGCAGCACCCAGAGCGAACCACCTCCTCTTCACTCCAAAAGACATGAAGCTAGCGCAGAGGACAGCTGCTCCCATGTCCACGTACAGGTATGGTACATGGATGTCTGGTTTTCTGGAGAGGAAAGAGGATTTTAAAATGACCCTTTAGTTTTGGAACTTTAAAACATATCCTGCATTATTGTGTAACTGTGCATTATATATTCATTTTTAAACCAGTGTTGGTTCTGCTAACTGGCTTTGATTAAGACGGCCTATGATGAGGAGGGTAATAGTTGTTTTTCTAAGTATAACACTTATATGGAGTCTTATCCTTAATTAAGTCAAATTTACAGATTAAAAATTATTCTAATTGTAATTTTTTTATTTAATCATTAGAATGTCTTTAATAATAATCTGCCAAACACATTTCAGACACGTTTCAAACACATGAATTAGGGCTGCAACAAACGATTATTTTGCAAATCAATAATTGTTTGATTTTTTTTTCTTCCCATTAATCAATTAGTAATCAGCTAGACAAATGTTCCTTAAAGAAGAGTTTTTACTAAATTAAACCAGATGAAACTAAAACTTTTCCACTTGAGGAGTTTTGATGGAGCAGATTAACAGACGGAAAGTTTTTTTTTAATTATTATCTTAAATGCAAAATATGCACGTATTTTTTTGTTGCAATTTTGTTATAATTGCTGCTCAAGTTGGGTCGCTCTGTCTGCTAAAGCAATATTTTAGTCTCTTCACTCCAGTTAACAACAAATTGATTACTAAATTAGCTGACGATTATTTCAATAATCAATTAATCTGATTGTTTCAATCCTAGAACAAATTCAAATAAACTCACAAATGCATTAACTTCTGTTTGATCTACTTAACATAAAAAGCTTAAAATATATTTTCCTGTATTATACTTCTTTTCAAACTAACTTCTTAAGCTGTAAATATGAAATATAATAATCAATAGACAATAATTGACCTAATTTCTTAACTGAATATATAAACTCAAGTGGTTTTGAACCAAGTGGCATCTTAGTTAAAATAAGGAGAGGTTTTAAAATAGCTTCCTTTTCCCCTACAGGGCATATAATTACAGGATAAGTTAGAGGGCTGTGGATGGGTGGGTTCCAGAAACACACCCACAAAAATAAATAACATCTCAACTCACTCCAGATTAAATAATTCAATTTAATTCAGTTTATTTCTATAGCGCCAATTCACGACGAGTCATCTCAAGGCACTTTCCAGTTCACCAGGTCATCCAGTCAGATTGATTCAAAGTTTTCTATCTAAGGAAAACCAGTTGATTGCATCGACTCATTGACTCGAATGCAATCCCTCACACTAAGCATGCTTGTAGCGACAGTGGAGAGGAAAAACTCCCTTTTAACAGGAAGAAACCTCCAGCAGAACCAGGCTCAGCGTGAGCGGCCATCTGCTGAGGCCGACTGGGGTTCAAGGAGCCAGAAGCAGAGTAATAATAGCCCCAATTTCAAGGAACTTTTGAAGTAAACTTTTAAGTAATAAATAAACATCAGGAAAGATGCAAAAAGTGAAGAACTGACTGTTGATCCGGCCCTTCTTCTAACTATAGTCAGCGTCTACAGCCAGGAAAAGCTTTTTTTTATTTTAACTTAAAAGTCATCAATAACATTTAAAATATACCGATAAACAAATAAATATGCCAGGGGGTTTAATAATATAATCATAATAAACACAAGTACAGTCAGGAGGAAACAGGAAAGACAAACAAACTTACAAACATGTGTGTTTAGGAGTGTCATATATATATATGTATGTATGTATATAAACATATATATATATATATATATATATTCTTCAAATACACAGATCTTCTACGTCAATTGTCCAGAATTTTTAGTTGGGAACAAATTGAAATGTTTTTTTTTTGTGCTCTTTGGTGTGAAGAGGGTTTAATAGTATAACATATTGTTTAAGTTCAATTAAATAGACATTTAAGTCTGGCTTTATTTTTTATTAATTTTAATTTATGCCAAACAGGCAGGAAAAGTTGGACCTTTGATATACTGAAACCACCGCTAGCTCTGTAGGCTAAGGTTAGCTAGCAGCTCTACGTCAAACTACGCGCTATTTTCACCTCTTTGAGTCCGCCCTTTCAGCAAACAGCATCAGCATGCTAAAACAGTTCCAGAACCCGAATCGCGTCAGAATAAACGATCCAAGCTGACAAAGAAACTTCAACATCTGCTTCCTACTTGGACCTGCCATCGCTACAGCTCATGTATCCCATCCGACAGTCAACGTATCACATACTTCAACTTCCGAGCGACGTACACCTTTACCTATCAAAATAAAATAATACCACTATTCCACATTGATGCGAAAATAGGCAGCCGCATGGAAAGCTTTTAATTTGAAAGGTATTGAAGTTCCCTGGTAGAAGCTCTCTTCTGATTGGCTACCGAAGCCAAATCGTTAATTCTGGTGTTTACTCCATCTAGTGGACAAATCTAATCATTACATTTTTACGGCAGGTCCCTAAATTTTAAGAATAAAAACTTAACATTTTATAAGTTTAGCGAGTTAAAACGTAATTAAATGTATAATTTTATTAGTTTATCAAATGTATCTAAGCTTCTAATGGATGTGTTTATTGAACAATAAGTGATCAAATCTGTTTTTTAATAAAGTACTATACATAATCACTTAAAACTTATAGGAAAATGTATTAATATGATTAATATATAACATCCATAATAAAAACATAATCTATATATAAAAATGTATGTATAGCTTTAGTACAAATTTACAAAAATAAATAAGGCATGTTTTTAATCATATATAAAATAAATGAATGGAATAAATTAACAGATTAATCAAAATGAAAAATATAACTAATTGAAAAATAAATTCAGCATATGTCTGATCTAAAACCTACTGCAAATTAGTTTTCTTTTTATTGCAGGGAGAAAAAATGCACAACTCTAATTGACCAAATGCAATACATAAATTATAGGAAAATTACTGATATCTAAAATTCCCGCAAACTGCTTTTTTTTATTAATCCAAAATGAAGAAAAGGTAGCTCACCAGGTGCTTGGTGACTCTGCCAATATTTATAAGGAGCATCTCCATGCTGTTAATCCATGTGACGTGCGTGGGGTTAATCCTGAGTACTAACCCAGATTCTCAAAATGGCTTAGTGTGAGTTCTCCTGAAGGTTGAGCTGCTGATGATCTACTTGTAATGTATCCCCCATCAAATGTCATAATGAGACAATGAGACGGGAGAGCTGTGATACAAAAAATAACAAAATTAGACATTTTTTTGAAGATATGTCCAAAATAGACTAATCTAAATGAGAAAACATTAAATTTAATTAAATTTAATAAACATTTAAATAGAAATTTACTTCATTCACAACTTTACCGATACAATTTACATCTTTTTTCTCCACTTGGTAGAATCACCGTTCAAACCAAATAACAGATCCAGCCTTTTATGTATATTTCTACCATGTTTGTACATTTAAAGACCTAAACTTAGCTCTGTCGACTTTGCAGAATAGCCTAATCTTATTCGGACTGTACAGTCTGCCTTTAACATTTAATTTTTTTTTCTTTTTGATGGAGTTTGCACAGATTCTTTATTAAATATACATCCGGACTTTGACTAGGCCAATACAACATATGAGCATGCTTAACTTAGACTTAGACTGATTTATTTAGTCCTTTTGTATACACAATTGTAAACAAAGAGAATTTTTTTAGAACAGCTCTCTAGACAATTTCATTTTTTAAAGTGCAGCCTTGAAAACAGGAAAAAATACATTAAAAAAAGTAATATAGACATATGACTGTATATTTACAGTTCTAACAGTTCAGGCTGTTTCTGATAAAAAATATAATAAATGTAATGAAATACAATAAAATAACCAATTTTACGTGACATTCAGCAGTCTAATGGCAGTGGGAAAGAAACTGTTATGGAATCTGCTGGACCTGCAGCGGATGCTTCAAAGTCTAATAATTTAATTAAAAATTTTAATTTAATTTAATGTAAACCATTGTGTGTGTGTTTGTGGTCATAATCCTGCTGAAGGGCGAACCTCTGGATTATTTTACCAGTTGACCAGCTTGCCATATTAGATGTGCGGCCATGTCTAAGTAAGTGTCTTTAAGTGACTTTATAGGAAAATAACCTGCCTTATTCTTCCTTCTAGTCTAAATAAATGACCTACTTTGGTTTCTGCTTCCAAATGGGACAAAATGTGAAAAGTTCAGGGAGTCTTAATAGAGTTCAGACTTTCTTTTAAAAACAAAAAACAATCCTGAACACATATGATGCCATAAATGCAGTTATTTAAGTTTCATTCTCTCCAGTTCTGCATGCAGACTGTGAGCCTGCTTTCTTGTTACAAGAGTTAAATTCCTTGATTGTTTAATCTCATCACCGGGCATTGGTGACATCAGGTCCGCCAATCCAGTGACGACCTCAAACGAAAGCCGGTGTGAGGGATGAGCTCTGGTTGAGGAGCAGTGGGACAGCACAGATCGGCCAGTGAGGAGAGGCAACAGGAACCCAGGAAGGCACCAATCCAGGAGCTCCTAGGAGCCAAAACATTTCTCTGAGTGTCGGAAATCCCGCCATTCAACAGGTAAAAACCCAGGGAATGTTCATTAAGCTCCTTTTTTTGATCTAGAAACAACTAGATTAAACATTGCCTGGACGATTACGTAAGAACCTTGGAGAGAAAATCACAAAAGCAACATTTAGGGAGTCGCTTATGCTTAGGAGCTATTAAAACCAGTATTCTGTTTTCTTTCTGCAGCCAGGATGGCTCGGGATATGTCAGATAAGGAAATCCTAAAAATGGAGCTGGAACAGTTGAAGAAGGAAGTCAGCACACCTAGAACACCTGTAAGTATTTTACTTCAATACCTTTATTTATTTCAGTCCAATATTCTGCTATTTGAATCCTAAAAAGAAAAAAATATATGAAATGGCTGAATTTTCTATTGTTTTGGGCAATATTTTCACAGTGTCTTTTATATTTTCCTCCCCTTTAGGTGAGTGCAAACTGTGCAGAAACAATTGCTTTTGTTGAAGGACAGATGCCAAATGATCCGCTGATTAAAGGCGTTCCAGACGACAAGAACCCTTACAAGGGAGACAAAGGAGGCTGCGTCGTAACATAGCACACAGGCATCTGAGGAGGAATTCACATTTCTGTCAGAGTTGGTTTCTTTGTAGGGATTTTTCTGATTTAAATGTATAAATAAATGAAACAGAGGACGGTTGCAGTGTTTTCTATCAGCTCTGTGGTAGTCAGCATGAAAATGGGTAACTTGTAAATAAATACAAATAGATGTAAATATCTTCCTCATGCTTTTTTATTGACATTCAGATCTTTTACTTGTTTGGTTAAAATCAAAGAGTGGTGAAAACATGTTTATTGGTTGCTGACCTGTGTCACTGTGTACGACAGGACAAAGCCGCTGAGTTGAACCTTAATAGGATTTGTTTGGTTCGGCACGGTTGGTCAAACTGCTTTGTTGACACAAAGTGGCTTCCTGTTTCAAAGTCGTTAAGCTGGTTCCACTCTTCATTAGCTTCCAATCTGGGTTCTCCATCCAATTAGTTTCAGTCAGAGTCAAATAAACTTAATTTCTGGTAAAGCTATAAGAAAATAATTCATTTGTGTGGCTTTAAAACACAAAACCTAAAAAAAAGGATGGTTGAACTCAATGCAAAGCGAATCAACATGTACATTTTAGTCATTTAAGTTTAGATAAACATCTAAAGTACATTTTAATGATAACATTCTCATCGAAAATGATAATAATAACTTGTTAAAACCTAGTTTAATAGCAGTTTTTCATTGTTCTTTAAAATGGTAAAGAGGAACATTTGATCATTTTATCAGTTAAAATTAATCTGATAGCAGTTTATTTAAACTGGTATCCAGATGACCCCATAAATGACTTTTTGGAATGAATTTGATAAAAGAAATACATAAAGTGTATTGCTTTAATGAACTTTCAAATATTGTATATATATAATAAAACAATACCCAACTAATGGACTGAATGAAATAAAGTAAATCATTTTTATTTTCAACAACATCATGCCATAAAGCAACAGAAAATAATGCAACAACACAAAATGGAATATAGATATTTAAACCACAAACGGGCCTAAATTAGAAGGAAACCTTTTGCTCAGTGTTTTTGAAGACGTTCCAACACCCATCCAGGAATCTATGGAATGAGTTCCATGACTGATCCTGCCAAGCATTTACAATTCAGTCATGGAACTCATCCCAAAGATCTAAAATAACCCCTCCCATTATGATTCAAAAGCCAATCACAGAGCCCACACACAATAAAAGGCTCCAAAAATCCAGAAGATCAAGGGATGGCTGTTGGATTAGCAGCTGACTTGGAATGGGAGCAGGAGTTTGGACCTCAATGCTGCTAAAATACACCAGCGCTTCAACTGCAAGTTTTCTCTGGGGGAGCCAACAGAATTGACAAAGACAAAATTTATTTTAAAAAACTGAGCGAAAGTTTGCCTTCTAATTTAAGCATGCTTGTGGTTGCAATGACCCAGATTGACTTCAAATTTACACAGACATAAGTATTTAAAATATTATATGCAGCCAAATTACAATGATGATGCAGTAAGTAATGCAAAAATAACCCCAAACACGTGTAAATATATATATTATTTAGTTTCACCGAGTCTTTAATTTAGTAAAAAAATGTTCTTTAAGGAACCTTTGGCTAACCGATTATAAATCAACTAATCGAAAAAATAATCGACAGATTAACCAATTTGCCAAATAAATGTTAGCTGCAGCCCTAATCTATCTATCTATCTATCTATCTATCTATCTATCTATCTATCTATCTATCTATCTATCTATCTATCTATCTATCTATCTATCTATCTATCTATCTATCTATCTATCTATCTATCTATCTATCTATCTATCTATCTATCTATCTATCTATCTATCTATCTATCTATCTATCTATCTATCTATCTATCTATCTATCTATCTATCGATCGATATAGATATATATCTATCGATCAATATCTATAACTATATATATATCTATATATATATATATATAGATATATAGATATATATAGTTATAGATATTGATCGATAGATAGACTGAAATATATTTCAGTCTCCAGATTACATAAAACCTTCTTCTGTAATTGCAGTGAAAGCGGTTCTATAAAGTGAGTCTATAACTTGTTTATCGTGATCCAAACACTCCACAGCCATGTGCTACTATGAGTTGGTTCATCACACAATCTCTCAATAAAATACACAGAAGTTGTTTAATCTTTCCAGGCTCTCTATAGTAAAATGACACTCATACAGGTGAGAAGGGATTGCTTATATAAGTTAGTCATGGCGTCTCTTTCATTCTACATTAACCAGGGCAAAGTCTATGTCCCTGTGACCTAGATTCTGAAGGAAGAAGAATATTTCAATCAGCTGCACTGTTGTAAAGATAGGGCACTAAATGAATAAAGTCTACACAGATCTATGGAGATGGTTTATCTTAATTGTTTTATCAGATAAAAGAAAGTTCACAACCATTTATCTAATCAATACAGGATTCCATTTAGCTCTTTGGACTCCTCTGAAATTAAGCTGAGTAGTGAATAAACAGGAGAACATAAGGATCAGGCCTTTTCCTAGAGGTAGAAAAAAAAATATTTTTGCTCAAGTGGGAAGAAAGGTTCTAAAGGTTGAAAGATTTACATTTGGTCTGTTAAATATTTGATCAAAAGATTAACAAACTAATTGACAAACGAATCAAAAACACATTTAAAGCAGAATGATTCATGTCCAAGGTCTACAGTATTTATGCTCTGCAATCACAAGAAAACTGGGTCTGTCATTACTTTATCTTTACTGCTTTTTGCAGCACTGATAGTTTCTCATATCACCCCCCAGACCTTTGGCTCTGGGGCAGCAGCACAATAAAAGAAGCCTGCAGAGGATCGGTGCAGGATAATCACAGCCTGGATCATCGATAGAGCGTCTGCTTTTACTGGAAACATGTGGCTCCTGATTGTTTTAGCCTTCTTGGTTATATGGGCAGGCGGCACCTACTGGTACCTGTTCGGAAAGCCCAGTCCTTTCTCGCTGGAATCTGTGAGGCCTCCTGGACCGAGAGAGTTTGACCAGAAGAAGAGAGACAAAGTAATCAAACAAGGTAAATCTGAAGCACATACAGAAAATGTAAACAGTTTTCCACATATATATTTCTAATGGACCTACTAAATATTATAAAAACGCAGGTATAGGGTTTAGTTTGCACCTGTCTGCAATGCTCATTATGCAATAGGTGCAGAACACCCTGGACAGGACACCAGATCATCATAGGACTAAAAAAGACGCTTAAATACGCAAATATATACTTTTGCAGTTTATTAGTTTATAGTTTTTAGTCTTATTGAGGAAAATGACATGAAAATTCAAACATCAACAATACAAATTTGTCCATCAAACGGAGAATCAAATCAAGAATAAAATCAAAGTTCTATTGAATCGCTTTAAGTTATTTGCTAATGTAAACTGTATTCTTTCCAGATGAGGGAGCCTTACCAGTTCCTCCATCCACCTCTGATTTTTTCCAGAACATCAACATTCTGAGAATCTCAGAATTCAGACTTTTTTTCTCAGAATTCTGACTTTAATCTCAGAATTCTAACTTTTTTCTCAGAATTCTGACTTTAATCTCAGAATTCTAACTTTTTTCTCAGAATTCTGACTTTAATCTCAGAATTCTGACTTTTTTCTCAGAATTCAGACTTTAATCTCAGAATTCTGACTTTAATCTCAGAATTCTGACTTTTTTCTCAGAATTCTGACTTTAATCTCAGAATTCTGACTTTTTTTCTCAGAATTCTGGCAGCTAACAAACATGTTAGCATCAAGCCATAGCCATGTCTGTTTTACAGACTAGCTCTCTTGTTTTAATGACCTTCTGCTCCCCTATTAATGAGGGGACCCCTCGGGCACGTAAAAAGTTGCCTAATTCCGTCATTTTCCACCAATGTGTCACTGGCCCTCTCAAACAACTCACATCTTTGTCAGTGAAGCTGAGTGCTCCCACATCTCTTCCTTCATGGTGCCCATCTACATTAAGATCCAAAATTCTGAGATTAAAGTCAGAATTCTGAGAAAAAAGTCAGAATTCTGACATTTTTCACAATACTAAATTGAACAAATTTTTAAGTCAGTAAACGCTTTTTTTTCTTTTTCCAGTGGCCCTAATCTTCTTCCGTACACCTCTAACCCTTGCATGTTTTATGGTGTTTCTAGGCTGAAATGCAAATAATTTCTCTATTATCTTTGGAAAAAATGTATAATGTCTCCGAACTTATCGAAGGCTAGATCTTAAATTATCCTTAAACTTTTTTGCTGTTGTTCTGAACAGAGTTCATGTGTAACACATTTTTTTCTGTTTTGGTGTGACTTTAATCAGATTAGAGATCATATCTAAATTAGCAGAGGAGTGATGATATTTGAGTCGTGCATGTTTTATCTAAATCCCTTCAGTAATTACAGATATTGATAACAGCTCAGTATCTATGAGCTACACTGCAACCTTCAGACTGACCTATGCAACACGACATGTAACTTTCAGCACGCTTGCAATACTTTGAAGTAGCAAAAACTGTGTTTACTTCAAGCATTTCTGTTTCTGTCCAGGTTTTAGTGTGGACAAAGTGCCTGGGAACCTGGATGTGATCGTAATCGGCAGTGGGATCGGAGGACTGACAGCTGGGGCAACACTTGCTAAAGCAGGAAAGAGGGTTCTGGTTCTGGAACAACACGACCAGGCTGGAGGCTGCTGCCACTCTTATATAGAGAAAGGCTTTGAGTTTGATGTTGGTAATGAATTTTTTTCCCTCCCATTTAAAAGTTGTGGCTCAGTTAGCCTCTTTTTACAACACAAATAAACCAAAAAAATAAAAGCTAAAGACCAAAAGAGTTTGTTTTACTGTGTTTTTTGATTCATGCATCTTTTAATTGATTATTTTCTAACTTCCTTGAAGATCTAGCTGTGCAGTTTTATTTAATATTTAGTTTCCTTCTGTCAATTCAGTTCCATTTGCAGTATTTTTTATTTCTGCCCTCCTTTGCAGTTGTTTACTCTGTAATTTTTTCCCTGCAGGTCTTCATTACATCGGTCAGGTGCATGAGAACAGCCTGCTTCGGGTCGCTTTTGACCAGATCACAGAGGGCCAGCTGGAGTTTCAGGAGCTACAGCCTCATTTTGACACCGTCCAAATTGGCCTCGGTGATGAGAAAAGGGAGTACAAGATTTATTCCGGCAAACATGAGATGGAAGCCGAGCTCATCAAACAATTTCCAAACGAGAAAGATGCTATTGAGAAGTTTTTTAAAGTCATGAAGGTACTAGCTATGGCTAAGCACTCTAAGATTTAGTTTTTCTAGCTTTTATTGTCATTAAACTGAGCAACAAAATTCAGTGTCTGCATTTAACCCATCCCCTCTAGGGAGCAGTTGGCTGCCATTGTGGGGCACCCGGGGAGCAGTGTGGGGTTAAGGGTCTTGCTCAGGGACCCAGAGTGGCGGTCTGTTAACCTGACTCCGCCAGATGGATTTGCTCCGCATATCCATCTGGAAACCTTCTTTTGAAGTAATTTTGGGAAGGGGCGAAAATACTGGTTAGCTGATTGGCCTATGTTGGTGATAGACGGGCCAAATAAACCAATCAGATCAACGTAGCATATGACGTACTATCAGAGCGACAACGAAAACACAACCACAAGATCAAACTCTTCCCTAAACCAGTCAGGAGAAGAGCAAAAACGTCTTTTCCTCTGAGAAAAGCCTCCAGAGCAGTGTTTTGCTCTTCTTTCAGTGAAGAAATACTCTGTAATTCCGATAAAACTTGCTCGATAGCCACGCTAACACTAGTTTCATCGACTGAAGCCGCCATGTTCTTTAGACTGAACTGTCGCGCTTCTCGTTGCGTCACACCTCAACCTGTCTCAAAGCCAACGCTGATTGGACGTTCGTTTGGTGAATGGCTCCAAATTTTCTTTAACGGAGAGTCTCCAGACTGATTAGCGAGTGAAACCTTGAAAGCTCGCGAGATCAGGATGGTCTCACAAGGCTAGCTCTTTCCTGCTGCCACATACATACATAGCTACAAAGTCAGTGACTTGATGAGGGTAGCTAGGCTTCTTAGAGCTCTTTATCAATTTGCATTAAATAAACAAACAATCTGGTTTCATTGAAGCCAGGTACAGGAAGTGGAGAGCTCCGTAGCATGGTGTGGAAACAAAACAAGGAAGATGATTGTACATTTCAGAAGAAACAGGAATGAATCCTACTAACATAATGAAAGAAGAAGTGGAGGAGTAAAAATACCTCTGTGTTCACCCTAACAGACGTGGACTGGAAGTGGGGACATAGCAGACTGAACTTCTGAATGAAGCTTAGATCAATAGGTTTTTGCAACAGGATGTTGATTATCTTATATAAAGCTTGCTGCATACTCAACGATTTGTGAAGAAATTTGTTCTTGAGGTGCCTAGAACTATAAAAAAGGGAGTTTTTCCTGTGGACACTCATACGTCCCAAGAAGCCGCCATGTTCTTTAGACTGAACTGTCGCGCTTCTCGTTGCGTCACACCTCAACCCGCCTCAAAGCCAACGCTGATTGGATGTTCGTTTGGTGAACGGCTCCAAATTTTCTTTAACGGAGAGTCTCCAGACGGATTAGCGAGTGAAATCCCAAAAGCTCGCGAGATCAGGATGGTCTCTCATTGGGGCTTGAACTCAGAACCTCAGGATTCCAAGCACAATATCCTAACCACTAGACCACCACAAAGAATAATTGAACTATATTGATCTCACATTGGAGAAATTTACCTCTGCATTTAACCCATCCTCGTGGGGAGCAGTGGGCTGCCATCGTGGGGCACCCAGGGGGTTAAGAATGTCTGTCTGTGGCAGTCTGTGGGAGTGGGTTTCGAACTCACCACTGCAGGATTCCAAGCTCTATGCCCCAACCATTGGGCCGCCGCTCTTCGATGGTATTCTAATGACAAATTTAGAGAATCGTATTAATGCATCATATTTTCCAATAGGTTTCAGCTAAGAAGACCCACTACCTCGCAAGCATGAAGCTGATACCTCAGTGGATCTGTTTGTTTTTGCTGAAGTCAGGAATCGCAGATCTCATATCTCCAGTCTTCCGCCTCTCTGGAACACCTGCAACCGAGTTCATGAACACCCTGACTAATAATAAGGACCTCCAAGTTATCTTTTCTTACTTTTTCTATGGTTTGTGTCTAAGTTACCGTTAATCACAAATTTATCAAAAGGAATTATCAGAAAATAGACCCACAAGTGTATGTTTCAGGGGTTTATTGTGTCCTATTTAGGAGTGCCTCCAAAGGAATCCAGCATTCTCATAAATGCCCTCCTGATGCATCACTACAAACGAGGTGCCTACTACCCTAAAGGTGGAGGCAGCGAGATCGCCTTCCACATCATCCGCACTATTCAGAGATATGGAGGGAACTGCCTGGTCAGAGCCCCCGTCTCTCAGATCCTAGTCGATGAGAAAGGAGCCGCCTATGGTGGGAACAGACACCGGATCGTTTCTGTTCGCTGAAGGTCAGAAGTTAATGCTCGGTGTGTGTTTGCCAGGCGTGAAGGTGAAGAAAGGTGGGGAGGAAGTGGAGGTCCATGCACCTGTAGTGGTTTCAAACTGTGGAGTTTTTACCACCTTCCAGAAACTCCTTCCACCTGAGATTCAGGTCAGACATGGTGAGTAACCTAGGAGCTGCTGCGCCCTAAAGCGGAGGTCTTCAACAGGGGGTCCACAACCCCATTGGGGTCCACAGAAGTACTACATGGGGGTCGCGAAAGTTTCGGTTGATTAGACTTTTTTTTCATATTCCCTCCTTGCAATTTCTACCACTAATTGAAATGTCTTTAAATCCACATTAACATGAATTCAAGACACTGTCGTAAACAGATAAATGGAGCCAAAGATGTCTTTCAGGCAGAGGTGGAAAGAGTACTAAAAAAAATTGTAATTGAGTAAAAGTATCTTTACTTTGCCTAAATTCTACTCAGAGTAAAAGTAAAATTAACCATCTCAAAATTTACTCAAGTAAAAGTACAAAATTACTTCATTTAAAATGTAATTTGAGTAAACATTACTTAGTTACTTTGAGTTATTTAATGTAAAAAAGGATGAGTCATGAATTGACCACAAGGTGTTTTAATCGATTTCAAGGCGTATTTCAGTGGACATCCACACTTGCAAAAGATCAGCTGGGCTAAAGAACATACTTCCTCACAGCACAACGACAGTCACAGCCTGAACCATAAAGTGCAAACAATTTTCAATCCTACTGTCCAACAGACAACACCATGATAGGAATAAAGAAATTTAAACTACATTTTAAAGTTTTCAAAATGCACACAAAATTAAATGCCCAAAAGATGAAAGAAATCAAACTAAAACGCAACAGGATCCCACTGTTATTAACAAGCTCCTCATTTAATGATTTTAACTGACACTTGTTTTACTTTAAGTGATTTTTAACTGTCACTAATTTTTACATCAATTGTTTATATGTTTGAATTGTGTAAATAAAGTGCTGTTAAAAGTCAAAAGTCTTCTTCTTCTATTTTTTAATGGCGACTAAGTGTCGGTTCGCTGACACAGGGGTTTAAATTTTCGGCCGTAGTTAATTTTTTCATCATCAGTTTTTTTTTTTGCTCAGTAACGTGAGGGTGTTTTAAATGTAGCAAAGTAAAACTACTTAGGTTAAAATTTACTCGAGTAAAAGTAAAAATTACATATTTCAAAAACTACTCAGAAAATTACAAATTACTCATAAAAAGTACTCAATTACAGTAACTTGAGTAAATGTAATTCGTTACTTTCCACCCCTGCTTTCCTAACCTGACTCCGCCAGATGGATTTGCTCCGCATATCCATCTGGAAACCTTCCATTGAAGTAATTTTGGGAAGGGGCGAAAATACTGGTTAGCTGATTGGCCTATGTTGGTGATAGACGGGCCAAACAAACCAATCAGATCAACGAAGCATATGACGTACTAACAGCCAGGCTACTCTTGCCGAAACTAGTCGGGAGAAGAGCAAAAACATCTTTTCCTCTGAGAAAAGCCTCCAGAGCAGTGCTCTTCTTCAGTGAAGAAATACTCTGTAATACTACTGTAATTCCGATAAAACTTGCTCGATAGCCACGCTAACGCTAGTTTCATCGGCTGAAGCCGCCATGTTCTTTAGACTGAACTGTCGCGCTTCTCGTTGCGTCCCACCTCAACCTGCCTCAAAGCCAACGCTGATTGGACGTTAGTTTGGTGAACGGCTCCAAATTTTCTTCAACGGACAGTCTCCAGACTGATTAGCGAGTGAAATCTTGAAAACTCGCGAGATCAGGATGGTCTCACGAGGCTACTGTTTTCAGGCATCAATGCTAACATTCAGCGACACACAGGAGCTCTTTCAAGCTGGGCACCGTTTCATTCACAACACCTGTCCCATCAACGAGGGACAGGGCAAAATTACTTTTGTTACATTACTCCATACATAATAGAGTGACTATAGCACCAGTTTTATATAACACAATTTCATACAATCTATATAATTAGGGGGTCCCCGCTCCATCTCACCATCAGTTTGGGGGTCCTTAGCCTGGAAATCATTGAAGACCGGTTCTAAAGTAAAGATATTCCAACTAACTTCTAAACATTCTACCTCACAGATGTTCAGGAAAGACTGAACATGATGAAACACGGCAGGGGGTCGTTCTTGGTCTTCTCTGGATTCGATGGAACCGCAGAAGAACTGGGTCTTGTGTCTACAAACTTCTGGATGTTCAAAGACAATGACATGGATAAGTCGTGAGTATACTGTAATGTTGTATAAAGCACACAATTGGGGGGTTATAACCACAAGAGGGCGCCATAGTATAAAGAGATAAACTAGAAATGTTTTGCAGGAGACTCCATACATTTCACCCTTGAAGTCTTTCTCCATTTTGTCTCTTTGAAACCACAAACCTCAAAGCACTTGTGCATTTCTGCAAAGAGGGAGAAAACCTTTACAAATAGATCTGTACAGTTTAGTCTGTAATTTTATCCACCTTGCTCTGGTCAATACGTTTAAAAAAAACAAAAAACTTGTTACAATATGTCTGTACATGCTTTGTACATCTTAAAAACAGTTATGCTGTTCCTTATTAGCTACTAATTTACTAAATCTTCTTTTTTTATGGAATTAGGAACATATTTGCATCTTCAATCGTATTTAATCTGGAATAATGCTTTGGTCTAAAGCATACCACTGTAGTTGTAGACTTAGACAGGGTTTTAGTTTACCTACATGCTTGATCTCTCCTCTTCATTGCTTTTGGAAAACCTTAAATGTCTTTTGACTTTTTATTAATAAAATTGTTCTTCTATGTTTATATCGTTTGAGCTTAAGCAAATGTATCTCTGACCTATCTGTTTTTCCTCCATTTTGATGATCTATTTTGATTTTTACAACTATTCTTGACTGTATTTAGGTTTTATTTATTGTCTTCAAATCTATCAAATATCTAAAGAGATCAACAGCTTCATTTAAATAAGAAATAGCTAAATAGTTATTTTTGCCGTTCTTATTTTAAACACTGAACCCTTTTGTTTCAGTGTCATAAAGTGGTAAAAATGTTAAAATGTCAATGTCCATATTGTCCAACACTGGAAAAACGATCTAGAAATAAGTAAATATTTCTTAAATTAAGTGTATTTACCCTTAATTTGAGTAGGTAAATGATATAGTTTGCCAATGGAACGAGTATTTTTACTCTTAAAATAAGATAATTAGATCAAATGCACTTGAACTAAGGCAATGCAATTGTGTTTTCTTAATTTAAGTGTAAATTGTCTTGTTCCATTGGTAGGATGTATCTTTTACCTCCTCAATTCAAGAACAAATGCACTTATTTTAAGAAGATATGATTTATCTAGACTTCAAATTTTTTTCCAGTGAAATGGACAAAAAAAGAGATGTTTTATGATATTGATGATGTTTCCTAGGATGGAGAACTTTTTTGCAATGAGCAAAGAAGATGCACCTGATAACATACCCATGATGTTCATCACAGTGCCATCTGCAAAAGATCCTGAAGCTGAAATGCGACATCCGGGTAAAAAAAAAAAGCTGCTTTTTTTCTGAGCTTTGAGACCAGAATAGTAACAGAAATCTATTTTCTCTGCTTTAACCTACTGTAACTCTAAATGAATCAGGACATGTCATGTTCTTACAGGAAAATCTTCCATGACCATACTGACAATGGTTAAATATGAATGGTTTGAAGAGTGGAAGAATACAACTGTGCGCAAAAGAGGTGATGAGTATCACAACTACAAAATGAGATTTGCAAAGAACCTCTTTGACTGGGCCTGCACTGTGTTCCCTAAGATCAGAGACAAGGTACGACCTCTTAACCCTTTAAAGCCTGATCCAAGAATAAAACAAAATTTTGAATTCCTTATTTGCCCTTTTAACAAAATATGTAAAAAGAAAAAACAGAAATACATTTTTGATATTAATAGTTTATTACTATGCGATAAGTCAAGATTATTTTTTGTGTAGTCTTCTACTGGCTGTTATCAGGTATATCTGATTGTGTACAATAGGTTTTTGAGCAAAGTTTTTACCATTAAATTATGCAAAAGGTGTCAGATGCAAAACATTTCAGAAACCATATGTATCAAATACAATACATTTGGCATTATAGGGTTATAATGCAAATTATAGAATATCATTCCACTTGAGTTTGTTTCCAACTTTGAAGACATTTTTCTTCCAATCCAGGAAGCTTTTTCAATTCAAAAAGTCAGAACTAATGTTGAGTTTCAGGCTTTATAGAGTGGACCAAAAAAAAAAAAAAAAAGAGCCTTGTTTTGGCTCAGAAAACATATGAATGACTATGACCTGAATGACTGGGAATCTTCACCAGCTCTGCAGAATATATTTTTGGGGAAAAACTGTAGAAATTACAAAATAACCTGATCTATTTTTTTTACTTCACAAAGCTTGTTTTCCAAGATGTGGCGACTCCACTGAGCAACGTGCACTACCTGGGAGCTCAGCGTGGGGCGATGTACTCTGCTGAGCACAACGTGGAGCGTTTCTATGCTGAGACTGTAGCCAGGAACAGATGCAGCACCCCTGTAAAGAATCTCTACATCTCAGGTGACAGAAATGTCTATAATTTATTATCAAACTTCTGCAATAACAACCTGTGGATTTTCGTGACTGAGAAAATTTGTCACCAATAGGAAAATCTTTTTTTCCCGCCTACATAATGAAGGGGGGATTATTAAAACACTTTGATAAGCTAAAGAAAATGCAGAACAAGATGATAATGTTGTGTTTTCTTTTTCCAGGCCAAGATGTGTTTAGCTGTGGGATTGCAGGCGCTCTGCATGGAGGACTCCTCTGCGCCTCCACGGTTTTAGATCAAATCGTCTACATCGACTTAGTCCTCCTTAAAAAGAAGCTGAAGAGGAGGAAAGCCAAAGAGATGGCCCAGATGGCTAAGAAGAAACTGCAATAAGAATGCTGCTCACTACCTCCTCTGCAGGGCAATAGAGAATCTGCAACAACTTGGCATAACTACAATGCATGTTTTCCAGGCAACAGATGTTATTCTATATTTTTACTGTTTTATTAATGTGGTAAATTGATTTTATCATGTAACATATCTCAGTGTCTTTGGTTTAGATGTTCAAATATTAGGAAAATCATGTGTTTTATAAGCGAACCGTTCAAACTTTGTATCCACAGTCGAGTCAATATCACCATAAGGTGCCTTTCAGACTCCCCCCGGCCCCCCCAAAAAAGCTGAGAATTTCCATTGAACTTCATGTATATTGTATTAAGTATATGTTATGCTGTTAGAAATACATATTGGTCAAGCTCCCACACTTTTTAAAAATTAACTGCAAGCAGACAATTTACATGCAAACAGCAAAATATGTCCACCCTGTCATGGACAATTTTAAAACAGAGTAAATACATTGTAATTACATAGTGATTATAAAATGTAAATTTTCAGAAACTATTTAGTCCCTTTCTCAACAATACATTTTAGTTAATGGGAAAAGTATTTGGATAATAATGAAATTATGGCAAACTATTTGTTTCTCTATAAAATCTGCGAGAGTTGCACTTTCTTTTCTAAATTAAATCTAACAACAAAGATATCTGGTCAAATTTTCAAACAATACTATTTGGCCCTTATTTGCTTATAAAGGAATCACACAAAATATTTTGCTAACTTGTGGAAATAATTTGTTTATTTTCATAGAACATGAAAATAACAGGGTGGACAGAGACATGAGAGGGTGGACCCTGGGCATGACAGGGTGGACATGTTGTGGAATGTCATTGAATGGCCCCATAAATGCAAGGAACAATGCAAGAAAATTGTGTAAAAAATGTGTAAAAAATGCCTTTTCCCATGTACTAGTCGAACAGACTAGTTTTGATCCACTCTACCTGCATGCATCCACTGAATAAAGATGCCCAAACTGAGACATTAATGTGGCCTTCTAGCGTTAAACTCTGCACAGTGAAAGTCAAACATTCAACTGTAGAACAAAAAGAAAACATTTTTTAGTGGAGAACAGGTGATTTGAAAAAACAGAATATTTCAGAAAGATCACTTGGAAGCATCTCCAAACAATCTCTCCCTTTCTGAAGAGACTTGGCTCGCTCAGTTCTGCAGTTGCTGTTCCACATACTTCCACGCAGACGCTTCAATCTGTAAAGAGCGCTTGTTCAGAGCCTGTGGTTCTGGTATTAGGCAAAGTACCTGCCAGTCATGGTACCAACAGATGTCGTCCCGAAGACCTGGCCATTTGAACTGGTTTATGCCATGGCATTGCATACACTTAACTTTCACACTATGCCCTTCTGCATCCATGATGATACCCGGGTATGCTTCATTGTCATAATTAACAACGCACCACTCTCCAATGTGCTTTACTTCAATCATTTCTGGTCTCCTAGGATTATCTGGTGTCTTTCCACATGCTGGGGACTTGTCAGATGAAACAGGAACATTAGCTAGAGTGACCTCCTGAAGATTAAAGCAGGGGCATTCCAAAACACCTTTCTCCCTTTTACATAGACATGAAATGTCTCTGTATTTCATTTGGCCGGGTGTCAGACTGATAGCTTGGTGGATTCTCATAGTGCCTTTTACGGCAGCTATTGCAGGTATCTCAGCCATTGATTCAATATCCCTCTCTGGGATGAAGAACAGCTAAACAGATGTGTCTAGGCTTTTCAGCTTGTTATACAAGCTCTGGGCATCAGGAATGTCACCTCCATGGGCTACAATCCGGTCTGCTGACCTCTTGAGGGCCCCACCTACACCGTCTGGTGCCCCCTTCCCATGATTAGCCTCAAATAAATTCCATGTTATTTCTTTGAAGCCATACTTGTAGGGTTCTGTTGAGAGGTAGAAGAAATTTCCCTTTTGTCGATACTGGTTATACTATGTGTGGAGAGCATCCATTCACCATCTTTATCTCATTTTTGACGTAGGTGGCATTTAGAGGCTTTTGCATCTAAACCCTTCATATGTCCTTTTATGGGGACATAAACAGTTGATAATTGTCCTTAAAATAAATTTAAACTTTCTAATAAGTCTCATCAGCTAAACTTCCAATGATCTAACCTGGAGGGCCCTGGCTCACGCTGATTTTCAGGAGTTTCAGCAGGGGAGTTGGGTGGTGTCTCTGACTGTAGCAAAGCACTGGCCCTGTTTCTGGCTCTGGTTTGTCTTTTTGCCTCTCTCCATTTCATTCTTTTTGCCCTCTTCACGCTCTCACTGAGCTCATTGACACCCTTCTTCTTTCCAGTCTCTCTGTCTTTTTTCCATTTGACCCTTTCTTTTTCAAGGTACTTTCTTCTTCTGTCTGGGTCAGCATCACGACGTTCCCGATATCTCCTTGCTATCTCAGCTCCTTTTGATCTCATTCCTTGAAAAAGACGATTCAAAATGTTCCGTTACACATTTTAATTGGCAGTCCCTGTAAAATAGGCTTGCCTTATCAAACTAGGCTTGGTGATACTGATATCGCCAACATTTTTTTCCAAATTGTCCAATTGTCCAATTTTACTAAGTATAGCATGTACTGTTATAAAATGTGTGTAATAGCTGTTGTAATATGTGTAACATTACCAGCTTGTGGTCTAAACTATGCACATGTCCTTCCTGTCATGAACCATGTCCACCCTGTCATGGAAGGCTTGCTGACAGGGTGGACAATGACAGGGTGGACATTTTTGGCTAATCTTAGCATTTAATGAGCACATAGTGGACCTTCACTTAGCAACATGCTACAGTCAGTAAGCTGACTATGTACTGATTTACAAATATATTTCAAAGTTTTGATAGGTTTTTCTATCAATTGATATTTCACTATGACAGGGTGGACATGTTAAGCTTGACAACATCCAACTACACACATAATATGATGAAAATTAAGAAACATAAGTGTTAATACTTACTTTGCAACTCGCCACTGCTTCAGCCTCCATTGAAGAAAGAAAAAATCCTTGTAGTGATGTCACAGAAAACATCAGTGCGTTTCTTAAAGGGACAGTTACCCCATAATGACAGGGTGGACCACAATTTCAGGGACACATGCAAAATGTTCAATATATTTATGGAAATACAATATACATGAACAAAATGACTTGTTTTATCAAATAACTTATTGTGGACAATAAAACCATGTAAAAATTTTTTTGATTTAGTATAATTTAACCACTTATTACACACACTGCAGTTAGCCGAGCAATGTGTGGGACATACCAAAATCACGTACATCCAATAAAAAGAAGTTGTATAAAATGAAGGAAACAAATTTTAAGAGACTTGTCATTGTACTGATATGTGTGCAAGTGTTTGGCCACTTATAATAAGACCTCAGACTTTCATTATTCTGCTACATTTTCATGATGACTGAGTGAGTCTGATGAGGACACCAAAGGCACTTCATAGTGATATTGACTCAGTCACACAAGTATTAGACTGTTTTCATAAAATATGTTAATATAAAGAATCAGTGTTACAGGAGAGAAAGTGAAAGAATAAAACTATCAGATAAAACCTATTTTCATTTTTTATCTTCTTAACCCTTGTTTTCTCTCAAGGATTTCTAATGAACAGCATGGTGGTGGTAGTGTGAGGATATGGGACCTTACTGCAATAAATAAACCATTTTGGCTCTCTCTATGAGGGGTTTAACTTCATCATAAAGATGCCAGGCTTAAGTTTGGGACTTTAAGCTCAAGTTCTGTAACGATCTTGGTTCTGTTGTTTTTCTCTAAGTTTTCAGTTTCAAGTTTAGCCAGGTTTTTCATTGTTTTCTAGCTTTATTGGTGTTTATGAGGACCCAAGTGCAGAGGCTGAAAGGCAGGGGTGAGCTCTTAAAAGGTTTAATTAATGACCAGGCAGCAAAAACAGGTATCCAAAAATCCGACATAAAAATCGAACACAAACCAGAACCGTGGAGACATCAAGGGAAAACCATCAAGGAGCCAGGGTGAGAAAAGGTAAGACGAGGAACCAGCAAAGAGGGACTGCAGAGGGAGTGTATTTATGGCTGACTGAACAAAGGCAGGACTAACGAGCTGATAAGGAGCAGGTGTGACTAGAGCTGATGAGGAAGCCAAGGGAAAAGAAGACAAGGGGGCAACAGAGGACAGACAGAAAAACCTAAGCAACTTAAATGAATCCAGACACACCAATAAAGCTAGAAAGCAATGAAAAACCTGGCTAAACTTGAAACTGAAAACTTAGAGAAAAACAACAGAACCAAGATCGTTACAAGTTCATTATAAAATGATCCATAAAACACCAAAAAGTTCAAGTCAATGCCTGGTTGGTTTGGATAACATTTCTATCCTTTATATATGAAATCCTCACCTGAAAACTGCTTTTTTTAATCTACTCCGGTTGTCTTTGTCAGATAATAGATTTCTTTGATCAGTTTGACAAAAAGTAAAAAATAAAATATGTAAAGAGACGTATGCTTTTCACTGCATTGATTTGATTATTTGTGTTGTAAATACATTTGATAAGGAGTGTATGATTCTTGGGTTTAACTCAGGAAAGATTTAAATGCTACATATGTAAAATGATGGAGTTTCAAGTCTTTTTTCATTTTTCTTAAAGTCAGCTAATCATATTATTATAAGGATCAGCAGCTGCACACTTGAAAAAAATCGAAACCTAGATAAGTTGTTTTTTCTTAAAATAAGTGTATTTGTTCTTGGATTTAGTAGGTAAAAGAGAGATTTTGCCAATGGAACAAGACAATTTACACTTACAATAAGAAAACACAATTGCATTGTCTTATTTCAGGTGCATTTTATCTAATTTTCTTATTTTAAAAGCAAAAATACTCATTCCATTGGCAAACTATCTCATTTACCTACTCAAATTAAGCGTAAATACGCTTAATTTAAGACATTTCTACTTATTTTTAGATCCTTTTTCCAGTGCAGTCATTTATTTTATAAATAACAATTGTGGATTCTGATCCATACATGTAAAGTTGTGCTTTTATGTGCTTGAAAAAGTCTCTGTTAAAATTTTTATTTGTTTTTTTACAATTTTCTAAACACAGGATGCAGTTTTGGTCTTTATCTTCCATGCTTGATGGTACAAAGCATAATTGAAGGGCAACATTTTTTCTTAAACAG